TCTCTCTCTCTCTCTCCCTCTCTCTCTCTCTCCAATTCTCTCTCTTTAACTCTCGCTTTCTCTCTCTCTCTCTCTCTCTCTCTCTCTCTCTCTCTCTCTTTCTCTCTCTCTCTTTCTCTCTCTCCACCGTCGTTTCTAATCATTGGTAGCTCCAAGTTTGATGCTGTTTACTTCCTGTTTGTAAACCCGTCTGGGATTTAAGTAGACCATGGCGCTCATATGACCTTATGCAGTTCTGAGCGCCGTAAAACGTTACTAAAACAAACAAATAAGTAGAACAGCATCTAGTAGAAATCAAATAATTATGAGGCAGCGTGGTGGAATCAGGCTCTCGTCAATTTTTGGGCATGTAGAGTTATAGATATCATCTTCAAGCTTATTCACTTGTCTTTTTTTGGATGGAAAAAAGTATCCATTTATCTTGAATACTAGTCGAAATATTTGCGAAAGAAGGAGGTGGGGGTCACCTGTTTTCAGAGGTAAAATTAGTGAGAAAACAGCCTCCAAAGATTAGTTATTTCCTTAGCTTAAGAGTCCGTGGTAACTGAAAATTTACATTTTTGTGCCTTTAATCAACCCTTTTCAGAAAAATCCACACAGAAATGAGTTCTTTAATTCGCATGAAAGGTGTTGAGCCAAAAAACAAACATGTGATAAAAATTCGCTAACCTGTGGAAAAATGCAAGTTTCTTCACTTTGATTATTTTGACGAGAGCCTGATTCCACCACGCTGCCTCACATTTATGTTGTGTGCAAGAGCAATAGGCATGAGGATAAGCTGGTCGCAAAGATTTCATTTTCAAAACAAATTCAGACACGTACAGATATAAACACACACACACACACACACACACACACACAGACACACACACATACACACACACACACACGCACACGCACACACACACACACACACACATATGCGTGCGCACGCACACACATATCTTTGAACCAGTCTGACTTGTAATCCCTGCCCTATACCGTTGCATGGCTGAGTGAGCTTTGCGCCAACTGCCAATTGAAGGATTAGCCAGTGGCCGAAGTGTTGGGAGCTGTCTTGCTCCCTCAGCTGTTTTGGCACTGTACCATTCACTGGACTGCTCTGGGGGATATTGACTCTTTTTATTCTATGAGTGATCTGCTCATGGTAGAATGGCACTGATCTAGCAGAGTGAGGTAGGGAAAGGGTTAATGTTCTATTATGAAGCAGCAGCTGTATGACTTTGAAATGCTGACTGGCTCATTGGAGTTGCTTGTGGTTTTAACCTATAAAGACCATACTGGCCTGATGTGTTGACTAGGATCATAAAAAATTTAGATGCGGCACAACTATAGACAGAAATAATAGAAATAGAATGGAAGAAAGATATAACTGTGTCATCTTCCTACTGCCCACAATTTATTAAACAGTTTGGCTAATCTCTTATTTCTGGCTGTTAAGGTTGTTGTCGTTAAAATTCCCTTTGTAATGTATTCCAGTTCTGCTTTCAAATATATACATAATGTACAAAACCAGTCCTGGCCTCCTCGTTTCACCCCTCCACTTAGCCCTGAAAAAGCATAGAAAAGCCCTAGACATAGCATTAAACTTTAAAAAACAAAGATCAATGAGAAAATATGCAAACTCAAATGAAAACCTTTTGGTTAATTTTGTTTCAAATTTGAATAGAAAAAAAATAGTTTGAGCTGAAGTCTTATATATGCTAAACAAATGAGTGAGATGTTGCACTGTTTTTTCAACAGTTCTTATTCTTAGTATTTGGTTTCATCCTCTGGATTGTTAACCCTTTTGTTATTACTGCCTGTGTACATCTTGTCTTGCTTTCTACCTTTTTTCATTTTCTTCCCCATCACCCCTTTTTTGTGTCCACCCAGCCATTCCTACCATGAAGTGTTTCCGCACGGCCACCACCTTGTGTGTGCCAGACCCAACCTTCCACGACAGCTCTCGGCACAAACTGATGCTGCCAGTTGGCACACCTGTGCAGAGGGAACTGTTGACAGGTGTGTAGTGTGTGCTGTGCTGTAGGGATTATAAAGTGACAAGTAGCTTTGTTTGCGTTGTTGGAAGTTTGTAGAAAGTTTGGATGAGGTGAGATTATAGTTTTTTTAAAGGGTTTTTTTCCTTTCGGGTTTAGATGAGATGTGTTGTGATAGCTGTTTCAGCGTAGCCAGTTAAATTTTCATACCTGTTACAACATTAATGCTTTTCCAAAATTTGGATCTTGAATTTTTGTTGTAAGTGTCTGCGAAAAAGTCCTTTTTTGCAACTGATTAAACTGGTTGAAATTTATCACTGTTGATCTTCAATAATAAATACCACCTAATGTATTGAGTTTGGTTTACAAAGATTAATGTCAAGTGGTATGATAACTCAGTGTTCTGAATTTGTATGTTTCCCCTTCAGCTTGCGCCAACTCTGGCGGTGGTGTGAGTGGTCTCCCTTTTGAAGTTTGGTGTCGATACTACACGCCCAATGTGAGAGATCAGCTGATTGCTAAGGTTAGTAACTTCTGTCCCTCAGTGATTTTAATATCATGGAATATCAAATTTTTCTTCCTCAGATACTTGCTTAAGGAAAGTTACGGGGAATGGGGTGTCTTGTTTTGTAAGAGGCACAGAAGAGTGATTTGCATATCAAATTCATATTGGATGTGCCTTTTGGAGGTCTTGTGTGTTTGTTTTGCTATGTGTGCATTTATACAGTTGTGTCTTGAAATGTTAGCTGTACGGTATTTCTCATATGATTGACTATAAATTATTTGACTGCTTTATGCCCCGATTGACACAATTTATATTGTTTAATTTAACACTTTGCCATCACAAAGCTCATAGAGTAAAGACTCTCGCCATCAAAGGCAAAGGCATTTTGGGGAAAATCCAAAGAAACTGGGTGGTTAATATTGCCGATCGGCGAGATGAGGCAGCAAAGGGTTCAGAGACACTTCAGGCTACATTATCAGGGCTGCTCCAGGTTAAATGGGATACAACACTCCATCAGACAGCTGATGGGGATACTGGATATAATGAACATCTTTAGTGGGAATCAAGCTCAAGTTTTCTGCTTGTAGTAACATAACAGCGAATCTCTCAAAAGATAAATAAAGAAAAGGACACAAAGGCTTACAAATTTAAAATAATAAAACAAACTCTACCCATCATCTTCCTTCTCTCAGTGCACACTGCCGCTTGCCAAGCTTTGTGCGATGATCACCATGCATAAACGTGGGGAGCCCTGTGTTCAGTCTTTCCCCTTACGGCTTTCGCATGTCGGTGTGGATGGACAGATGGAGGATGCAGAGCTCGCGGCAAAGGTATGAGCTTGTGGAAATATTGTTCTATAGAGAAAAAGTATTTTGGAAAGGGCTTATCGAGAGGGATTTTTTTGTTGCAAAATGTCTTTGGCAATATATGCCCGAATGAAAGTTATTCCTGTTTGTCATCGTGGGCGATTGATAGAAGCTCTGATGCGGGCTTGTTTAAAAAGATTAAAGATAGGATAAGGCAAGATAAACTTTTTTTTGTTCTTTGGTTGAATCTGGGTGATTGAGAGAGGTTCAATGGGTTTTTCTTTTTTAATCTTCCCTGTTTTTCTTCTATCTATCTAGTGTTTTCCCAGCACTATAGACATGTCTAGGTTCTTCTCTCTTATTCAAATTCGCATATTTAAAATTTTAAAAAGTTGGGATAAAAATACAAAATATTGAGTGTACTTTTCTGTTATCGAATACATAAGGGTCTGCTGAATAATTTAAATCACGGGTGATTGAAGGGCGCTACTGTTTTATTCTTCTTTTTTTTATTTCCTCAACCTATTTTTCAGGTCTGTCTGTCTTAATTGTTCTAAATAACTATCATCACGTTGACATACGTCTCTTTTCAAAATGGTTGAATTGCTTAAAATATTGCCTTTTTCTTCTCAGTCGAGAGATGCTGGTCTGTTGGACATAACTGTCCACTACAAGTCTCAGACTGCTCAGGTGAGTTGGTCAAATGTGTGAATGTTGTGAGTGGGGGGGGGGGAGAGAGAGAGAGAGAAAGAGAGAGAGATTAAAAAAAAACCCCACTGTCATATGTTCTGTTTTGTTTCCCTCTAACCACAGGTTGACTCCAACGCCCCTGTCTCCGGCCGCCATCACGATGGGTCACAAGTCTGTCTGTCCATCGGTGTGCTCAGAGCCTCTGGCCTCAAGGTACGTACATTTGGTGTCATGTTGTCCTTTACATGCTGAAAGAGTCATAGAGTCATGACGGCATAAAGTTGGCCAGCTGTTAAAATGTACTGAGCCCAAAATTTTCAGATTTTTATTGTTGTCGCTATTTCTTAATCTGTGGTATTGGTTGCCTAAGCTTGAGACATATTTTGTTAAAATTCAAATTCTAATTGTTAAAAAAAGAAAGGAAAGATATACATATGTATTTTTTTCGTTTGTTTTACATTTTCAGGCTGCTGCAGATTACCTGGCAGAGCTGGATCCCTCCATGGTGTACCCAGCTGATGTAGGCATTAACGCCTATGTGCGCATCAAGATTACTTTCCTGGGAAAAGAGGTCAGGGTTTTTTCTATAAGTGCTTTCATAGCCTTCTTGCTTATTCATACCGTAGCCTGCAGAAGATTTGCTTTTATGTGTACCTTTGGCCTTTATTACATTCATTCTTATTTGTGCTATAAACACTCGCAATGAAGATGTTGTGAAGTTAAGATAAACACCTATTTTGCATGTCTGCACTCCATTATGCCATTATTGAAGAGAGCAATTTTTTTGCTCGATGTGAAGTTTACTTTGAAAAAAGATATAAAAGGCAAAACTTTGTTATCAAATACCATTTGAATTTGGTTTTAGGATCTGGTTTGACATACTTTTTTCTTGCTTGTGTGAGAATTCGAAAAAATTTGGACTGAACAAACCTTTTTATAATACCCCAAAATATCAGCATTAAGAGACTAGGAAAAAAGCCCAGTGTTACCGTGAACAGACGTACCTCTATTTGTATCTGTTTTTCAGTTTCATTATTTTCACCAATATTGACATTTTTTTTTCCCTTCTGAAATGTGCACAGAGTGAGAGAATGACGAAGACGGTGGCCCGGAGCTTCTGCCCGGACTTCAACCACTACCTGGACTTCCCCTGTCCTCTGCTCATGTCCAGCGTGCTGTCGGCTGACTCGACAAGTCTGGCCGAGCTCCTGGAGTCGGCCGAGGCTGTGTTTGAGATCTGGCACCAGACTCCCACAGGACTCTATAAAGGTAAAAATTGAGGAGTTAAAGTGCCTGTTTGAAGTTGTGTATCTGTAAAGGTGTAAGTTACGAAGTAGAAGCGCTTATTGATAACAGTGTATCTATAAAGTTAAAAGTTCAAAGGTAAAATGCGTACTTTTAGTTTTGTATCTGTTGAGGTACAAGTTACGAAGTTGAAGTGCTTATTAATGTGGGTGGTTGGGGGGTGCTGTGGTGTGGTTTGATTCTTTTTTCTTATCTAACATCTATCGTCCTTATCTCCCCTTCTTTTTTTTTATGTTTGTTACTCTCTTGTAACACCTCTAATCTTCTGGCGCTCACATGACCTTATGCAGTTGCGAGTGCCGTAAAACCTCTACGAAAACTAAAAGTACTTATTGGAAGTGTATCTATCAAGTTATAGCTAAAAGGTTTCGGTGCTTTTTTATAGTTGTAATCCTTCTGAAGTCTTCCTTGTCTGTATGATAACTCTCTTAGCTGTCCTTTAAAAAAATCTAACTTCATTTTCAGTCCACTCAGGACTTACGGTGGTGCTATCTGTTAATTGCACACCTTTATTGTTCACATACTCTGCCTCTACTGATTAGCAAATTCCCGTTTGCAGCTTGGTGAACTGAGGAAAAAGGGTAAAATATCTTATGTTTCCCGAGGTAACCAGGGACTGAGTAATAAGGACAAAAGTTATATCTTTATGGAGGCAGGCTATTGATCCAGGTGGTGTTAGAATGTTTGTTCCAGCACAAAGATGGAGATGCTGTTTAACTGACTGAAGTGTCTTTAGGCCATTCCCAGAGGGGGGACATTAACCTGTACTCATGCACAGTAGAATTGTAAATTGTAACTGGGCTGATTCATCGATGTCATGCTCATAACTGCCTGAACTGTAACAGGGAAGCTGAGAATGTTTTGGAGTGTTCTATGGTCTGCTGGAGTAATAATATAGTGTAATGCGCATAGAGCCTGCTGTTGAGCGGGGATATGCGCTATACAAATGCTATCTATTATTACTATTATTAACTGGTGCTTTTTCCATCCTAATCCTTACTATTGTCATTTTCTTCTACATCTTTCGTATGTTTGTTGCACTTTTGTGGCCCACTATTTCCGGGGTGCCTTGATAGTCGAAGCAGACTTTGTGCTATTAAAGCTAGAGAGGTGAGCAGAGTAAGCCTGATTCCCTGTAAGGGCTTCTCTTTTAACATCCACCCCTTGACCTTATGCAGTTGCGAGCACGGTAAAACATCTACTAAAACAACAGAGATGCAGTTGGAAGAGAACTGATGTCTGTTGTGTTGATGCGAAGAGCCTGAGCATTATCCCGCACACACTTTCGGCCTGTCATTTCAGTCATATGGTGGTGTCTGAGATGTTACTGTTACATAGCTGCCAACTAGTACATAAAAAATGTATCTGATACATTTTTGAGAGTCTGAGTACAGAAGTTCGTTTTTGTGTTGGAAAGAAAAATGTTTTGTATTGCTGCATTTCTCCTTCAGTGAAGCTATTCACGTAGGTGTACTCATATGGCTTAAAGTAGGTGGTTGGCGGGTGCCCTGGTGTGGTTTTCTCTTTCTTTCCTATCAAACATCTGTCTTTCTTATAACACCTTCTTTTTTGTGTTCGTTACTTTCTTGTAACACAGCTAATCTTCAGCACTTATATTACCTTATTGTGGTGCAAGTGCCGTTAAATTCTTACTAAAACAAAAATATAGCACCAAGGGTTTTTCTTTTTCTTCAGGTGCCAGATCTAAAACAAACATCTGTAATCATAGTAAGCTACTCCTTTTTCCACTGATATGCTCTTGAAAAAACACCCATATCAGTAGGGTTAAAGACAAATAATCCTGTGTTTGTGAAAAATTTCCATTGTTTTTCATCAGATGTCCAATCAGAGAAGGCCCTGGGCGAGGTGTCTATGAGACGACTGGCTCAGAGCTCTGGCGACATCCTACTTGGCACAAGCGTGGTCCCACTCATGTCCTTGTTAACACGAAGAACAGGTGTGGCTTCATGAATGAGTTAAAAGTATTCAAAACTGGAAACCCAATTTGTTTTGTTTTAGGATGTAGAATTAATAATTTTTCAAGAATTGTTTTACAGAGGTAACCTTGACTTGTGAATATGTGGGGTGCACATTTATTCAGTGAGTTGCACTCTGAACATACAAATCTATTTGCTCAGATTAATAGTTAAAATAAAAAAAAAAGATTGTTATCATATTTTTAAAACTATTTTTGTAGAATGAACTGTTTTACAGTGATTGGTTTATCTTGTGGATGTTAAATGGGGTGCACACTTATTCAATTAGTTGTTGTCTAGGGTAAATGTGCCCCACTTGGTGGAACAGCAAACAATTTATATCCTTTGATCTGCTCAAGGTATTTTCCTTTTTCATTTTAAAATGGCACAAAGTCTGATGCATGTCCTTGCTTGTATCTTTTCCGCTCACAGGTCTCTCTGGATGGTTTGCTGTCAATCTGCCCAATGTGGGATGGGCTAGACCCACACAGGGGGACCAGGGACTTGGGACTGCTCTTGATCAGGTTGGTTCACTTGCTGTTCTCATTTGGAATATTTTGATATGTCGAACTTGTCCTTGTCCGTCATGGTCACTCAAGGTCATAGAGAAAAGTGACCATTATAGATAAGTGACCACAATGGATAGGGTCTCAGTTAGTTATTGTCACTTACTAAGATTGACAAAGTCAACTGATGGTTTAAAAATCTGAAATCTTTATTTAATTGTTATCTAATCATAAAATGCTTCTTTTCCTAGATTGAAATTTTGCTCTCAAGTCTGAGGATAGGTTGGTGGAAATCTTTTATTGTAAGTGACCTCGATGAGTAAGTTTTTAGGCCAATTTGTAGTGAAAATGATTGATAGGGACTTCTTTGGCCAGATACTGCTTTTGGACAGGTTTAGAAATTAATATAGGATAATGCAAATGTGTCATGGAGCAGTGGCAGATGGTCATTATGGGCAGGTGACTGCTAAGGCAGGTTCGACTGGTTCGACTGAACCACCTTCATTAATCACGTCTTATTTGGTTTGCTCTACCAACTATAGAAAATTTGGTCTACAGCAGCATGCACAATTCATTTGTACAATAAATCGCAGGTGATGTCATTGTCACTTAGTACACAATATCAGGCACTCGTAACTTTTGTTTTTCACCAATTTTGTCTTTTCCTCTACCCCTCTGTTCAGGTTGTCGGTGGCTTAGAGTTGTCACTGAGGTTTGCACATCAAGACGATCGTGATCGAGTAGTGGGCGTGGCCCGCAGTGTGGGCTGGTCACCCATTGATGTGGAGGTGGAGCAGCCAGACTGGCAGGACGAAGGTGAAGGATTTAATAATAGATAAGATAGCATTTGTATAGCGCAAATCCCTGCTCAACAGCAAGCTCTATGCGCTTCACATTCTATACTATTGCCCCACCAGACCTGAGAGCATTCTGAAACAACCTCAACTTCCTGGGATGCATACAGTACAAGCAGCCACGTATAGGCGCTAAAACACTAACATACTGACAAGATCTTTCGCTGTTTATCGCCGGGTACCCATTCAACCTGGGTGAAGTGAGAAAAATTAGTGTAAAATGCCTTTCCCAAGGACACAACATCGGGCCCGTGGCTCGAACCCCCGACCCTGCTCCCTCACAATTACGAGTCCAGTAGCCTAACCACTAGGCCACCGACGCCACTTATGTCTATGCTGTGCCTACCAGGCGGTGTCAGTGTAGAGTTACAATGTTCAGAGGTGGCAGAGTCCAGCTTCTATGTAAATTTTCTCTTTGTCAGGAACATAAACATCTTTCCTGTCCCTGTAAATATTGCTTTCACATTTTCCATTTTTCAAGTTATGGTGTTGTTGAAATTAAAGAGCTTGTTTTCAGTAAGGTATCACCTTCTAATTGCATGGCTCACACAACTTCAAAATGAATCCCTCTGACACCTTGATGATTCCAAATTATTGCCTCAGTCCTGTGGAAAGTGTAGAAGATAGAGCGGAGAAGCCTGTGAAGTGTTCAAATGCTGTCTTTTGCCTGTTTCTGTATGTGCTGATTCCCTAAACAGATTTTACCTAAGATGCAAATAGGGGGAGGAGGAGGGGTGTACAACTTTTGAAATGTAAAGTAGAAAGCCAGAATTTAGAAATCTAAGACTAGATAAAGAAATATCTGTATTGAGGTCATATTACTTTCATTCCAGTCTCAGTCATAGTTTCCAAATGTGGGTGGTTGGAGGGTGACACTGGTATGTCTTATTTCTTTTCTTGTTGTCTTTTGTCTCCAACAGATTGTTCTGCTCTTTCCTAGTACTCAGTAGGTGGTATCTAGTCGTCGTGCCTCTCTTTAAAGTTTTGAGTTCCAACAACACCCTTCCCCTCTCTGAAAACTCGCTAAAAAATACCCCCCTCAGCTGACCTGTTATTTTGAAATTTTCATATATTGGTATACGTAATGGCATGCAGTGTTGGTGCCAGTTAGTACCGATCTCATCCATATACTCTAGCCTGTACCAATTCAAACTTCTTTATTTTCAAAGTAAACATCCTAGTTTCCAACTCCTCACTGATGTAGGTGGTTGGCGGGTGCTCTGGTGTGGTTTTCTCCTTCTTTCCTATCAAACATTTATTGTCCTGATCTCTCCTCTTTCTTTTTTGTGTTTGTTACTCTCTTGTAACACCTCTAATCATCGGCACTTTATATGACCTTAATGTGTTGCAAGTGCTGTAAAACTCTTATTTAAACAATATAACATACTCTAGCCTGTATCAATCCATACTTCTTTATTTTCAAAGTAAACATGTTCAGTTTCCAACTCTTCACTGATCTTTGTCGTGTTTATTTCCTCTCACAGACAGCCACCAGCGAGTGCACAACCTGACGGTCAGTGTGGACCAGGTATCTTTCCCTTTGTCCAGTGCCGTACTTGTCGGCCGCTCAGAACTCGAGGCTGGAACCAGGTGCTACCTGCGCTACAAGCTCTATGATAAAGGTGAGAGATTTCTGTGCCAAACCCTACGATTTCTATGATAAAGGTGTGAGATTTCTGTGCCAAGCCCTACGATTTCTATGATAAAGGTGTAAGATTTCTGTGCCAAGCGTTGCAAGCTCTATGATAAAGGTGTGAGATTTCTGTGCCAAACGCTACAAGTTCTCTGATAAAGGTGTGAGATTTCTGTGCCAAACGCTACAAGTTCTCTGATAAAGGTGTGAGATTTCTGTGCCAAATGCTACAAGTTCTCTGATAAAGGTGTGAGATTTCTGTGCCAAGCGCTACGATTTCTATGGTTAAAATGAAAGGTTTCTGTACCAGACGTTACTAGTTCTATGATAAAGATAAGTAGTTTCTGTGCCAAGTGCTGAAAGTTTTATGATAAAGGGGAGAGATTTCTGTACATAGTGACACAAGGGCTGTGTATGTTCCATTATAAGAAATGTCTAAAAAGGGAAAATATAGTGGCATTTTATGCAGTCTAATTTTGTTTCCCCAGACACGCTTGTTTTTTGCTTGAATTTTGTCGACCTTGAATTTTACGTGACCCAGGAAATATATTTTTCGGCTTACTGTTTTGGCAGGTGCAGTTGTGTCGAAGAGCCGAAGAGTTAATGTCTCAGAGGGAGGTAACCTGCTGTGTACTCTGAACCACAAGCACAGTTTTATGTTGTCTCACACAGCCCCTCTGCAGTGGTAAGTGAAGAAAATTAGGGTGGGAGAGAGAGTGGGAAAGGGGGTGGGGAAGAGAGAGAGAGAGAGAGAGAGAGAGAGAGAGAGAGAGAGAGAGAGAGAGAGAGAGAGAGAGAGAGAGAGAGAGAGAGAGAGAGAGAGAGAGAGAGAGAGAGAGAGAGAGATTTTTGTTTGACAAGAGTAGAGGTGGCATAGAAGCCCTTTCTCTCACTGAGCATTTGTCTTCAATCACATTCTCTGCTCTTTCGGGTTGTTGGAGGGTGTCACTGGTTGATCCTACTTCTTTACTTTCCCTCAGTTGTTTCTGTCTGTCTGTCTGTCTGGTTAACTTTTCCCTAGCTCTAAATGACCATAATTGTGTGGATGTGTTTCATTTTACTTAAACAAAACAACAAATCTGCTCTGTTTTCCTCTAGGTACCTGCGGGAGGAGAGGCTGGAGATCCAAGCCTGGCTTACATTTGGCAAGGGGCGGGCGGGGGAGAAGAAGCCTCGACAGCGTGACAAGCTCATCGGCAGCTGCTACATGGACCTGGAGTCCCTCACAGACATGAGGCGCAAGCAGCAGAGGATCAGGTACGTTCACACCCCTGTGGTGTGTGCTCTGATAGATTTTACTGATGTGGCATCGGTGGCCTAGTGGTTAGGCTCTCAGACTCACAGCTGTAAGGTCATGGCTTTCAATCCCGTGAGGGGCCGGAAATTGTGTCCTTGGGAAAGGACGTAACACAATTTTTTTCATTTTTTTTTTTCACTTCACTTAGGTGGGAATGGATAGCTGACAGTGAAAGATCTTGTCAGTTTGTTAGTATTTGAGCATGTGTAATCCGCAGCTTGTATTGTATGCTTCCCGGGAAGCAGAGAATATTTCTGAGTGTTTTAGGATCTGCTGGAATAATAACAGGTGTAAAGGGTCCAGAGCATGCTTTAGAGGCCGATCTGTGGATCGTCAATAACAAACAAGAGTAAGCATGCACTGTAAATAGTATAAAAATATTGTGGGCTAACTTTTGAGTCTTTTCTTATGATATATACATATATATATATATATATATATATATATATATATATATATATATATATATATATATATATATATATATATATATATATATATATGTATATATATATGAAAGGGTTTTTGTTTTGCATGTTGAAAAATTTTCAGGACACTTGTTCCACAGTTAGAACATAGCACCATGGACATACCAGAGCCTGCCCTAATGGCCAACGTTATAAGATAATCCTCTAATCCCCTGTACTGACAGCCACTTTCTATTCTGTCTAATGCCTTTTTTTTTTTTTTACATTATTTTGAAATGTGAGTAAGATGTCCACTTGTCTATGAAATTCACTTCTCTTCACCATGATAGGTGGCTGTTTTATACAATTTGACTGCAGCCTATTTCCTCTATTCTGTGTTCCAGTGGGCTGTTCCCAGTGTTCAAACCAGGCACCAGTCACCTCAAGGGCGCATTCATCAAGGCTCAGGTCACCTCCAGGCTGTCCACCAATGCCAAGGAACAGGTGAGTCTTACTTCTTTGGCACTTATATGACCTGTTTGTATTGCAAGTACTGTAAAACTCTTTCTAAAACTTAAACAGAGTCTACTTCTCTTCCTTTTATGTCTCTATGCAATAAATGGTGGTTATGATGTTGAGGATTAGGATGATGATGATGGAGCTGCTGTTGTGGCTGTTAATGATGATGATGATGATGATGATGATGATGATGATGATGATGGTATTATGATGATAATGATGATGATGGTATTATGATGATAATGTTGATTGAATTTTACTCTCTCTGTGCTCTGGTTATACTATTCTGACACTGTCTCTCTATGCTTGCTTCAGTTTTTATATTCCTTATTCGTGATAAAGTTCAAGAGGTGAATTGTCGGAAAATTTTGAAAACACTTAATACTTCTTATACCGTAATGTCTAAGTCTCTGTAAATTTTTTTACCACTTTGAAATGATGTTGATGCTGATGATCATAATAATAATGGATTGCATTTATATAGCGCATATCCACTTATGCAATGCTCTATGAATGATGGTAATGGTAATGATTTTGTCAATGTTGATGATGAATATGAGGATGAAACAATGTTTAAGACAGGGTTTGCCTTCTGCTCCTTAAGTTAAGGGAAATTTTAAATATGTGTACATATTCCTCCCTCGACAGAACTCAGAAAGTGACCTGACAGCTAACCCCAACGATGTGTCTCAGTCGGGCTCGGAGACTGACCTGTCCAGTGACAATGCCCAGCTGTTTGGTGAGCTGGGCTTGAACAACAAATCTCCCAAAAAGAAGAGAGGTAGAGGAAAGGATCCCGAGGCCAGCTTCTCTGTTCTCCTGGCTGTGGAGAGGGCCATGCATCTGCCTCTTGTTACAGAGAGAAATCGGTAAGCAGTGACTGTCTAGTGCCCTGAGGGCTTCTTTAAATGTCTATGTATGTCCAAAGACTAGAAAGATACAGGATAGGTGGGTGGTTGAAGGTCATCAGTAGTAGCTCCTATTCTTCTTTCTCTTAGCTTTCCCAGTAGTTGGACTTTGATTCTTGGACCTTTCTGATATAAAGCACTCTTTTGCCATTCTGTGTGACTGGGATATTTTGGTTCCAAGTAGGTCCGTCTTTTTTTCTTTTCCAGTGTTGTGTCTGTCTAAATCTTTCCCTGCAATAAATGACCATTACTGTGTTGATGTGCTGCTTCATAATCGAACCAAACTCAGGTTGCCATGTTCTTATCTCTGTAGAGTCTCTTTATTCAATGCCAATCTTTGTCCAAAGATGAGAAAGATAAGGGAGGACAGCCGGCATCTCTGGTGTAATGTAATTGGTCAGTCTGTTTGCCATTACACGCAAAAGACTGATTGCTGTATAGAGAAGTCTGTATTATCAAGTGTCTCAGTCTGTCTGCTATGATACTGTATCAACCGGTGCTGATGTTGACAGACACAGTTTAAGCAGCCTGTTTTCTGAATGATGTAAATTATTAGATGTAGGTGGGAAACTTGTACTGTATATAAACCAAAGATAAAGGTGAAAGTATCTGAAAGCATTCTCATCTCAGAAGGTTTTAGTCCTAAGACATTGTAAACTGAATTTTCCCTTTTATGCTGACCATTTCACCTTTTTGCTCTCTTTGTGAGTCAAGCAACTTTTTTTTATTGGAGGGGGGAGCTTTTTGTTATGTCAGTGTTGTTGTTTTTTAATGATGAAAAATGCAAAAAGTATTTTCATATTTTTAAATTTTAGACACTACAACTTGTATATTTGATGGTGTTGCTGTTGGTTATGGTTAAAAAAAGAAAGAAAAGAAATTAAACCTTTGGCTAAGAAATTTTGGGAGCGGGGGGGGGGGGGGGGATGAGGAGGGGGACTTGTGGTTGTGGTTGTGGTTTCTGAGATGTCTAGTGTCCGAAGATAATAGAACAAAAAAAGGTGTTCGAAATTGTTCTCAATTTAGTTTTGATATTTGGGAGGGGGGGGGGGGGGATGTGTGTGTGGAGGAGGTGATGTGTGCGTGAATGGGCTGGCTCATTTTCTGTTATTGTTGGTTATGTTGAAAGACTTAAAAAGGAACAGACATGTAAAAGTATATTGATTTTAGGTAATTTCAGTCTTTACAAATTGTGCATTTGAGGCATACTTTTTACTTTACCCTCTTTTTCTTTTATGTTGGTCAAGAAAATGGAGTTTTATGCTTATTTTTCATTAACTGCATGATATTTTATTTTATTCGGAATATACTGGTTTATATCCTGTTTTTTTGTGCCTGTGTGTTCAGATCGGGCGAGATCAACCCGACCACGTACATCTCGTACCAGAGTGCGGAGAGGTCGAGTCCCTCGTGCAGCTCAGTGTTCCCCAACTCGGCCAACCCCGTGTGGGACTATGCTGTGGAGACCAGGCTCAGCACTGAGTATCTGCACAAGGAAAACAAGGTGGGAATTTTATCGGTTATATTGGTGGTAGGGGATGCAAACCGCATCATTGTGGGTGGTTAACGGGTGCTCTGGTGTGATTTGCTTCTTCTTTCCTATCAAACATCTATCGTCCTTATCTCCCCTTCTTCTTTTTGATGTTTGTTACTCTCTTGTAACACCCCTATTCATCTGGCGCTTGTATGACCTTATGCTGTTGCGAGCGCTGTAAAACCTCTACTAAAACTGAACTAAAAAAGCGCATCATTCTGAAAAGGACAGTTTTGTCTGTGAAAATCAACTGCTTGGGGGTAAGCTCCGTCATACGTCACTCTTTAAAATACACAAAGCAGTCAAAATGTTTGTTGTTGGTGGTTTATGCTGAATTTTCAAGTGCGCTGCTGTTATGGGCCTATAAGATTTCGCTACCCCAGAATTACAAAGTTGTATCTGCTCAGTACCTAGTTTTAAGAAATTTGTTGTAAAAAATTTTGAGTCTCGCAACGTATCTAGCTTTTTAAAACCCAATTCTTTGAATATCTTGATAACGACTCCGAATAATCTTATGATTTTGATAGAGCAGATAGAACATTATTTAGTTTTTGACCTCAGGGTTTTAGTAACTCAAAATGGCCTAACATGTCTGATAGAACTTTGTGATTCTAAGCTAGCAATTTTTTAGCTTCTAATTTTTGTGCTGATTAGCTTGTTTCTACTATTAAGTAGTCGTTGTTTGTCCGTGCCATTGTAATCCGAAATTTGTAAAGTTGTAATTGTTTTGTTTTTAAAATCCTCATCAGAACCTGGTTCTCAAAGTTTGGCATAAGCCTTCAGATGCTCCAAAAAGTCCAGGTAAATATTTTCTTGTTGTAGAATTGAGTGTGACTTTGTCTTTCTTATTAGATGACTCCTTGAAAACTGTATTGTCTGTGAAAAAGGATTGGGCCTGTCTATACCTGAGTGGGAGCTGGAGAAATAAATGAAATAAATGATACTTTATTGTTGTTTGTGTGGAAATTTGTGTTGCAATGGCAAACATACATATACAGTACCTAATTAAACATACAAGTACACTTACAATGAATACCAAATACTCAGAAAAGACCAATTTTACAAATGTGTCATTGCTAGTTGCCACTGTGCAGCACCTTGTTTTTTTTTTTTTTTTGATTAAAAAATTCTTTTTTTTTTTTTTAGCTAGGGTTATCTTGTCTTCCTCAAAGACACACCCCAGTGACCACCCTTCTAAGTGCTGCTTCATAATCGAACCAAACTCAGGTTGCCATGTTCTTATCTCTATAGAGTCTCTTTATTTAATGCCAATCTTTTTCCAAAGATGAGAAAGATAAGGAAGGACAGCCGGCATCTCTGGTGTAATGTAATTGGTCAATCCGTTTGCCATTACACGCAAAAGACTGATTGCTGTATAGAGAAGTCTGTATTATCAAGTGTCTCAGTCTGTCTGCTTTGATACTGTATCTTACCCAACCTGTGCTGATGTTAACAGACACAGTTTAAGCAGCCTGTTTTATGAATGATGTAAATTATTAGATGTAGGTGGGAAACTTGTACTTTATATAAACCAAAGATAAAGGTGAAAGTATCTGAAAGCATTCTCATCTCCGAAGGTTTTAGTCCTAAGACATTGTAAACTGAATTTTCCCTTTTATGCTGACCATTTCACCTTTTTGCTCTCTTTGTGAGCCAAGCAACTTTTTTTTATTGGAGGGGGGAGCTTTTTGTTATGTCAGTGTTGTTGTTTTTTAATGATGAAAAATGCAAAAAGTATTTTCATATTTTT